ATAAAATATAAATTGTATGGCCACATATAGCACTGAATGCAACCGTCCCAGGGACCACAAAAAGATGGGTCCACAGCAGTCAAATCTGGAAGGCTTCCTGGAGGAGGTGATCCCCGAGTTGAATGCTGAAGGATAAAGATAAGGAAAGGCCCGGAGGAGGCGGCTTTGGGAATCTGCACTTGGTCTTGCCCAGTGTTTAAGGCAGTTAGTGGAGAAAAAAGACCAGCGGGGCCACCCCGGGGGCAATAGGGAGCCATGTGATGCTGTAGAGCAAAGGAGGGGAGGGCCACCCGGGTGAATCGGGCGGATTCTTGAACTCCTTCTCATCCTCCAAAGCCTTTGGTTCCCAGCCCCCACTCCGGCCCCTCTGGTGTCCCCAGCTCTGATCCCATGGGACGAGGGGTGACTGCTTCTGGCTGTCTCTTCCCCCAGTCTGAGGACTCTATTAAAGGCCAGGCCCGAGCCCCAGCTTCACAGCCAGTGAGGACAGTGGCAGCACCGTCAAAAGTCCACTGCATGACTACATGAGCGGCCGTGTCGTTGAACGTCATCAAGTGCGGGCAGAGCAGCGGCATTAGCTGTGTGACCTCCGCCAGGGCGCCTAACCTCTCTGGTCCTTGAGGCAGATCAAGCCTTTCTCTAGCAGGAAGCGGTCAGCAAACTTGCGCACATTTTAGGCTTCGTGGGACTGGCACGGCCACCACAGACAATGTCGTTGTCATGTGAAAAAGCACTGACCACGGCAAGCCACAGGGACAGCTGTGTGCCAATAAAGTTTTATTTATGGCGCCCAAAATTGCCAGTCGTATCGCTCTTGCGCGTGGCGAGACATTCTTTTGATTTTTTTGTGACCGTTGGAAAATGTAAAGCCGTTCTTCCCCCGGCAATAAGAAACGGTGGGGAAGGTGGCCTTGGGGACTGGAGTTTGTCACCGTCCTGGATTGTCGCGGTGATGACAGGGGGTGTCCCTTGGTACCCGCGGTGCCTCAGGACCTGTCCACCCTCTGGGGACTCTGTGGGGACAACCGGCCTGACACACGGCCATCGCAAACTCATCCAATGTGTCGTCGGAAAACGACCAGAAAGTGTGCCGTGCGTGCAAACCAGCGCCAGAGCCCCGTGTCCTCGCTCGCTGGGCAGAAACGGCAAGGGACGGCGACAGAGCGAGCGCCACCGGCCCTGAGGCTCCCCGCTCGCTCGGCGGGGACAAACTCACGAGTGGAGCACAGAGGCCGCAGACGTGGCGGCCAGGGGTGGGGGACCGTCGGCCGTGCCCGGTGCTCGGGGCACTGCGCTTGCATTTTTTAGTTTTCGGCGGTACCGGGATTTGAACTCGGGACCTCACGCTTGCTAAATGAATTTAACGAGGCCCTGGCTTCCACCCCTAGCACCGCAAAGACGAAGGAACAACAACGACAGAAGTGGGTCTGCGGCGGTCCCCACGGGCACAGGCCACCACCAGCCGGAGGACAGCAGCCCTGGTGTCCCCACCCCCGCAGAAAGGCAGCAGCGTGGGAGCCAGGGCGCCGCGGCGCCCGTCACGTCACACGGACGCACTCGGCGAGCGTTAGTTGCAGAATGAGCCAGGCGGGCCACAGAGATCCCGGGCCACCCGCTTGTCCTTTAAAGCCAATTACTCTTGGCCGGCAGCTTCTAATCAGGGTGGAACGGTGGCCTCATTAATACACTTTATCTCGCTGTCACCAGCCAGCTGTTGGGAACAGATCTTATTATCAAATGGTGGTGGCCCTGGTGACCACCTCGCTCACTCCAGCTGAGAACGGGGCCTGGGGACCCGCTCCCCCCTCGCCTAGGCTCAGCCTGCCCGGTTTCTATCACTGTTCCCCTTCTCGGTGGCCCCCAGGACCTCGAAGGGCTCCCAACTTCCACTCTTGTCCCCTGCAAGGTCCCTGAGATCCTGCCTGTGTCACCTGCCCTGTCCCCTCCCACATCATCCCTGACCACCACCTCCCGCACGCCCGCTCTCGCCCCTGCTGGACGTTAAGTACCTGCTCCTTAGAAAAGCCCCGTGGTGGGCTCCACCCTGGCCCTGGATGTGCTCAGCAGAACAAGAGGGAACAAAATAACACAGTGGTCACAAGACAGCCACAAAGAGCCCCAGGCACGAGTGCGTCCACCGCTGTGCCGTGTGCACTCATCAGTGTCCATTAGCTGGTGGATGCACCAGCAAGCTATGGTCCATGCATGCGGTGAAATATTACACAGCCAGGAAAATGGACGGCACCGCAGAAAACACACAAGAAAGCTGAACCTCAAACGCACTGTACCGAGGGAAGGAAACCAATGAGTGACTGTGCTCTACACATTCCCACTTGCGTAGAGGGCCGCCAGGGAACGTGCTGGGCTCTGGGCACAGAGGCCTGACGAGGGACTGTTCTGTGGGGACATCCTACCTTGTGCCTTGTTTCCTCAAGGGCACGCATACGTCACATCGCTGAACTGTATGACGGGAGATGTGTTTACTGGACAGCATGTCGATTGGGCCTCAATTATAAATTAAAAAAATGGCCAGGCACCGGTGGTTCATTCCTTTAATCCCAGCTACTCAGGAGGCAGAGATCAGGAGGATTGAGTTTCAAAGCCAGCCTGGGCAAACAGTTCCTGAGACCCTGTCTCAAAAAACCCTTCACAAAAAAAAAAGAAAGAAAAGGAAAGGGCTGGTGGAGTGGCTCAGGTGGTAAGAGCGCCTGCAAAGATAGTGCAAAGTCCTGAGTTCAAACCCTGGTGCCAGAAAGGAAACACTGGAAACTGGTCACCTGCTGGTGGCGTTGCTGCATTTGCTGTCACCTGTGCTCTGGAAGGCACTCCTGTTTCTTGTGTCTCTTGGGTGAAGATCTGATGCAGTGGGCGCCACCTGATTCTCTTCCCGCCTCTGCTCAGCCATCACACTCGTGGCTTAACATTGACTGTGGTCGGTTCATCCACACTGTGGAGACGGGAAGACACAACCAACCCAAGGAATGACATCAAGGACAGTTTCCTGGTAATTCCTGCTGATTATATGATGGCTGCCGTGATGCCAGCCATCACACCCACGCTCCAGATGGAGTGGAAATTAGAAACATCCCCGGCATTCCCCGTTGCTTAGAGCCTGTCACACAAGCATGCGTAGCTGCCAGGGAGTCTGCTGAGATGCTTGGTTGCTGGAAGCTCTCCTCGAGGAAGGGTCTCACCATGTGACACTGTGTTTGGGGGGCTGTGGGGGCTCCAGCTTGGGAACCACAGGAGGCTTTGGCTACACAAACACAGGTGGCTCATGAGCCACGCGTCCCATGCAGCTTTATTTGTCAAGAACAGCCAGTGCCAGCGTCCGGCGCCTTGCCTGGACCCAGTTGGCAGTGAAGACATCGCTGGGCACTATGACCGTGGAGATACGACAGTGTGTCATCACCCTCAGGACGTCTGGGGCTGGTGGCCAGTGGTGACATGGTTTCCCCCTGCCTCTGCAGGAGGCTGGTGTTCCTGCAAAACAGCGCTCAGGCTCATTTTAAAAATACAAGCAAACATTTTTTGTGTGTGTGAGTTTGAACTCAGGACCTCACGCTTGCTAGGCAGGCGCTCTACCACGCGAGCCACTCCGCCAGCCCTTTCGGCTTGAGTTGTTTTTCAGATAGGGTCTCACACTTCTGCCCAGGGCCAGCCTCAGGCCACAGTCCTCCCAATTCTACCCCCTGCGTAGCTGGGATGACAAGTAAATGCACCGCTATGCCCAGCTTCTTGGTTGAGGTGCGGTCTTCAACTGTTACCCTCCCGGTCTCCACCTCGTGAGTAGCTGGGATTACAGGAATGAGTCACCTTGCCCAGCAGAAAGTCACTTCTCAATGCCTCTCTCCTTAATGTCTTAGCAAAGCAGCAAAAGCAGGCAAGCTCTCCCTCTTCCCGCTGCCCTGCGTCACCCCTTGGGCTGCCACACAGTAAATAATTCTTATTTTCTCCATTAACAGAGGAAAAGCACTAAGAAAAATCTCATCTGCTGATCACATTCCCAGCCTGAAAGGGTTCCAGGGCCCTGAGGGTGCCCCTGCCAGCCACACGGCCTTCTGCACTGTCTTTGGAGTGCTCCTCTCTCCCTGGTGGCTGTTAAAGAGCTGTCACTGGTGTCCCCAATGGAAGGATAGGGCTGGGCTGCCATGTACACGAATGGTACAGTGTTGTGTGCCAATAAAACTTTATTTACAGAAACAGGTGCAGGGCCAGATTGGCCAGACTTGTGGGTTGCCCGGCATTGCCTTAGGAGGGCTCTGAGCTCAACGCGATGAATCCACAGCCCACGTCTCCCTGCTCTGATAACCTAGTGGGGGCCAGCTGTCCCCTCCCTAAATGGGTCTCTCTTGACCTTCTTTTGGTGGGTCTCTGTGGCTGACCCCGTTCACCCGCCATCTCTGCCTCCATCTTGTCCTCATGGCACATGGCAGAGTGCTGGTTTCGCCCGTGTCTCCTTTTGCCTCACCCATCAATCTCACCAGGCTGCGTCCTGTGCCTGTGGTCTCTCCCTTCCCCTTCTGGGTCCCAGTTTTTAAAATGCAGTGACAGCTCCTAGCACACTGACTGCTTCTCCCTGCCCTGTCTTTCTGTGGCTCGCGTTACCGTAGCCCACGCCCTCAGGTGTGCGTGGGCTGCTTTCCTGCGTTGGGTTGAATCCCCTCTGCTGTTCAATGAGCAACGTGACTGCTAGGGTCCCAACCGCCACCCTGGCCTGTGGGGCTCCCAGCACATCCCTCACCACCCACCACAGATGGCAGGTACCCCAGGTGTTGTGGAGGGAAGTAGGTAAGGGCAGGGCGGGTGTTGCCAGGCCAGGTTTCCTCGAGGCCTATCCTGCCCTGCCTGTGTGAGCAGGGACACACTGTGGCCCCCAGCTCTGAAAGCCAGCTTTCTCTACCTTCTCCAGGCCACTCCCGGCCCCACCCTCATCCCCCACGCCCTGCCCCAGCCTCACCCCTCTGGAAATGATGACACTTTCAACGACATGGAGCGGGAATTCGAAGTGCTCAAGAGCCTTTAATTCATCATGAACCCAGAGGGAGGGAGATTAGGCAGAAAATACAGCGCGTCCTTCATCTTGCATGGGGAAGATCCTGTGGGAGGGGAGTTGCTTCTGCACAAAGTGAGATACAGCGTGTCTGGGTATCGCTTCTCACTGCCGCTCTGTGGCCTGTCTGCAAGCACCCCACGAGGAGACCAGGCCTAGTGGCCTCCAGGGCCAGGCCCTTTTCATTCTCTTTACAATATAAATAGCGTTTTCAAACTACACAGGGAACAGGTGGGTGTACCCAGCTCCCGTGGGTCTGAGACCCCCACACCCTGACGGCCTGGCAGCACGAGAACTCACTCAACCTCTCAGGAGGTGTGAGGTGGCTGCAGAACAGATGAGGTGCTCCCGGTCAGGGTCCCCATCAACTCACTGCCACTCCTCTAGGGACCCCATCCTGTCAAGGCAGGGCCCCTCCTTTCTCTGTTCCCAGCCACTCAGATCCCATGTGGCAGAGAGAACAGGGGTGGGGAGTGGAGGGCCCCAGGGGGCCCTCTGTGTGCAAGGCAGGTCACACAGGGGCACCTCGGGACACTTTGAAGGCCTGGCTCACCCCACACCCCTCACCTTCTCTGGTTCTCACCACCAGAGCCTGGCTGCCACACTTGCTAGCAGCCACACGCAGGAGTGGCGGCCACCAGGCCTCTGCCTCAGTGGGGGTAGCGTGGGGCGCGGGCGCAGGTGGTGTCTGTGCAGAAGCGACGACGCTCCACCCCGCAGCTCTTGCTTGCTGGGCACACGGGGACATCGCCAGAGGTACACCAGCCTCCTCCTATCAAGGGGCCTGGACATCACAGGCTGGGCGCAAGCAAGAGGGTGAGCACGAGTGCCTGGGTCACACGCCTGTCACCAGCCTGTCACCAGCGTCTGTCCGCTCCGGCCTGCCGCGTCTCCCCAGCAGCTCAGCCACCTCCCTGCCTGCTCAGTCGATGGTGAGAGTTTAAACAACAACGGACAAAAACAAGGCTTTCCTCTCTCAGCGCATCTTGGTTCTGAGAAAAAAGGATGTGTGTGTGTTTGTTTTGTTTTGTTGGTTTTAAAGCCACAAATCTAGAAAAGAGCGCCGGGCTTTTCCTGCTTCTCGCTCCCTTGTTCTCGCTTTTAGACAAGGGTGTGTAGAAAGAGCTCACAAAGGCGGAGTATGTACAGAGGGCTGCTCGGGCAGGCAGTAGCACCTTTTGGAGAAGAACAGAGTGGAGGGCGCAGAGCGGAGCTGCCTGCGGCCCTGCTCCCTGAGTCCGGGCCATGTCGGCGTCCTGCTCGTCCTGTCGCCCTGGAGGGGCGCTCATAGCGCGGAGATGACTCGAGGACAGGAACTCACAGCAAGCAGACGCCCAGGCCCACCGTGGCCTGCCTCACCGGGCTGAGGGTTGCTGGTGGCCACTGTCCTAGAAGGGGGCCCCCGGCCGGCCCTGTGCCTGCAGGAGGCTCTCCACGAAGGCCAGGTAGTCCGGGCTGTGCACCGAGTCCTCGGTGGTGACAAGAGGGGTGCCCACCCGTGGGCGCTTGGCAGCCTTCACCTCCTCTCCGGAGAAGCTGGGTTCCTGGGGTGCCCCCGTGCTGAGTGACTGCAGGAGACCAGAGCGAGCATGGTTAGGCCAGTAGGCTGCTCAGCCCTCAGTGCGAGGCCTCCCGGGACCAAACTGGCTGGGCACTGGGAAGAGACCGCTGTGGACCCTGTCTCTGCAGGAGCCCCATCCTGAGAGGGTCCTATACCCCACCCCATTAGTGCTGTTGGATGACCATGGCTGTCTGGGGACTCCTGTCTCCTCCCAGGGAACCTTCTGGGCTGAGGCTCCTCCTGTCCACCCACTCCTCAAAACCCAGGCTTGGATTATTGGATCAGCAAAGACAGAAACCACAACAGGTCTGGAGGCGAGACGCCTGCACTGCCCATGATCTCCAGGCCTCACTGCTCCCGTGCCAGGTGTTCGAGCCACTGGCCTGGGCTACACACTGCCATGTTCCAGCCTCCTGAAAATGGCTGGCACTGGAGTCTCACAGGCACAGGCTTGTGCCAGCTGCCTGAGCTCCTGCACCTCCCCACTGCTCGCCAGCTTGCACCCAGGAGTTGGTCCTACGTACTGGCAGGGGCCAGGCATGTGTGAGGGAAGGGCCTTGCATTGCCACAGTCAGGGCATCACTCACAGCTGAGAAGGAAGGGACAGTGCTGCTGTGGGGTAACACTCACCAGCCGGGACCGCACCCTTTTGGGGAGCTCCTCCTCCAGGGTGAAGATGTCACTGCGTTTCACGGTCAGCTGGGACCCGTCCTCAAACTCCACCTTCAGAGGGACACAGTTCTTAGGGCACTGCAGCTGCCCAAGGGCCAGTGTGCAGAGCCCACAGGAGGCCACATGGTGGAGACAAGCTCACCCAGTCCACTGACACCTGCTCTGGGACCAGGGTTCAGGATGAGGTTCCTCAAAGAGCCACAAGGGAGGAGGGAGGAGAGCGGGAGGGAGGGAGCTTGGCCCCAGCTGGGTCCAGGTAGAAGCAGGATCCTCCAGCTAAGCTCCTACATAGGTGACAGATCCCAAACCAACACCGCTACCTTAAGACACAGCTGCGGGTGAGGAGAAGACAGCTGGGCAGTGGACAGACAGTGACCCTGGGGACCAGGCAGAGGATGTGGGTTGGAGCTCAGGTGGAAGAAGGGCTCCCAGGACCCCTGGGGATGGCTCAGGGACCATTTTCCTTCCATTGAGAGTGGCAGGCAGGCAGCCCGGGGAGTCACAGCCTTCCCACCCGCCACCCACACTCCCTGTCTGGCGGATGGATGCCGCAATGGAGAGGCCCGAACCCGAGTACTGGGCCTGTGAGGACAGAAGCTTGCGGTCCTGAGTGCCCTGCGCACTGTGTGGTCCTGCCTGCCAAAGGTGCCAGGTAACCAGGGAGTAAAAGAACCCATTCACAGAGCCTTGCTTCTCATGTCTCTCAACCACTGGCAACATCAACTGGCCAGGGTGCGATTCAGAAAACCTGCTTCACGCAGCCCACCAGAGCTGGTGTCTGGGTGCTGTGCAGACAGGGCTCCACGTCTGCTCCAAGGAACCCATGCCTGCCACTCACTGCTCCAGAGAGCACAGCTATTGTGGGTACAGCCAGTGTCTCAGCCTGATGACAGTGGGGACCAGGCCTGGAAGGCAGGAGGGGCATTTCTGAGTCCTACAAAGGACAAACGGACAACTGGCTGTCCTCTTACTCATGGCCTGGGATGGCTGCATGAGGAGTCCTCGGGGGGCTTCCGGCCTGGATCCCAACCCTGGTAACAGGGCCATGGAGCTCAGGTGTAGACGGAGGCCAAGGGAGAAGAGCCCACCCATACCATTCTGGGGGGCCCAAGGTAGAGGGGTCTGAACCCTCAGCTTAGAGGGAAGCTGATGTGTGTCTCTAGACCAGCCAGGACCTCAGCGCTGCCATCAGAGACAGTGACAGGGCAGATGTCCTGATGCAGAAGTGTGTGTCCTGGAGCTGTTGCTGGCCTGCCACGGCAGTCCTCACACTGCATTGGGTGCAGAGTCCCAGGCGCTGCGGGTGGGGCAGGGAGGAGAGTTCTGGAAACTCAGAGGAAATCAGCTCAGGTTTCTAGGTCAGGAAACCTAGAGAGCTGTTCTATTTCACTGCACTTAGAGCAGAGCAGCTCCGAGGGGTTGGTGGTGGCTCAGAAAGCTGATCCTAGAACCAGGAGACATGGGCGATAGGATCCTCAACTGGCTTCCTGTCTGGACATCTCCCCAGTCTGTACTTAACTGTGAAACTCCAAAGGGCGAGGTTTTTTGTTTTTGTTTTTAACTTTTTGAGAAAACTGGATTCCTGTGCTAGCATACGACATCACAGAGATGAAGAGACCTGGCCTAGGCTGCCCTGTGGTGGCATCTGCTCCGAAGTGTCCTTGCAGGTGAGGTTTGGAGAGATACACTGTAGATGTGCTGGATGGTCAGCTAAGGCTCTTCGTGGACGCCAGGGGTTTGGCAGATGGCCAGGCCAGAAGCATTTGGAGACCATGGCTTGCTGCATGTCTCATTTCCAAACCCACGACCATGTTCCTTCTTAACCACCGACTGTGTTTGGCTTCATAACCTCTGCGTGACATGTCCCCACTCCTGCCCCTGAACTCTGGACACATCTTCTTTCAGGTCAGGGGACACCTGCCTCTGTTGCCCTGCTTCTTGGAGGCTCGTCTGCCACTTGGCCCATGGCTGTGCTGAGAATGTGGGAGCAGGGTGGCTTCCTGCTTGCAGCCTGGGCTGGGCCATGTCTATTGCCTCCTTTTGGGACAGGCTGCCAGGATCTGCATCGCCCCATGGGCTCCCAAGGACGGTGGGACTTCTCCCGCCTCTCCAGACATCCAGCTCCAGCTCCATTCCTCACAGTCCTGGCAGGCCTCTTAGTAAGTATTAATTTTTTCGTAGGGCTGGGCACGAAGGCAGGTGCCACACATGCTGGACAGCACTCACCACGGAGCCACACCCGGGCCCGCCTGCTTTAGCAGAGCCATTTGTCCATGACCAGCAAAGAGAAGCTGAGGTGCCCTTAGCATGGGTGATGGTGGCCTGAGTCCCTGCAGTGGGACTGCAGCACATAGCTGGCTGTTTGCAGAGGCCCAGACAGGAAGAGGAAGGAGGCCAAATGGTCCTGTCATGGTCACCAAGAACTCAGAGGGTACTGTCTGACACCTTGCAGATGAGAGGCCCCCTCACGAGGTCACTGGCAACTCATGGTGCCCAGGGCTCAGCAGAAGCCTGTGTGGGATCAGGCTGCGCCAGGCTACTCGGCGGGCCCAGGACACAGGACGACCACTCCTGGGGTGAGGATGTCAGTGAGCGTTTCAGACGGATACGAGGTATAAGCGCAGAGCCTTGGCCCCCCCCCCACCCGCCGCCAGGCTCCTACACCTGGTCTGGACCCCTATGGCCCTGTCCTGGCTGGTTAGAACCCTGAAATACAGGCATAAGCCACAAGCTAGCCTGTCATCTGTCCCTCTGACCTCTGTGCCCTGGTCCAGGTGAAGCAACCAGGAGGCCCCACAGCTGGTGGAGGCTGGTGGGATGCTCTGCGCCCTGTGCTGGTCAGCCTGGCTCACACAGGCGGCCTGGCTTGCATCTGACACCTGCTTCCCAGCCACACAGAGAAAGAAGAACAGCCAGCCAGGCTGAGTGTGGTGCCAGGCGTGGTGGCCATGCAGGGCCACACTGGGAACACCTATGGGGACTGTGGTTTTCTTCTTCCCTGTTTGTCACCTTGAGCCACACTCAAATGTCTGCAAATAATGTGGGTAATGAGACAGGTGTTGTGGTCAAGACACCACTTGCTGGCTTTCTGTGTGACTCACGTGATTCCAAGTGCTGCTGCCACTCAGTAAATAAGGGCAGTGAGAAGAGGGTGTGATACACAAAAAAGTGACAGTATTCTGATGGACACTGTGTACAAAGGGGACCTGGGGATGGTAAGTCATCCAGGGAGCAGCAAATAGTGCTGCTGTTTGCAAACAGGGAGCAAGCACACCCTTGCTCCCTGCCCTGCCCTGGAGGCTCACAGTGTGTTCGGTTGTTGGACTGTCCCACACTTTAAATAATCTCTTCCACAGTCACGGGAACTCACGGCCATCTGATTAGAGACAAAAACCAGGGCACTGACCTGGACACCCGAGAGCCCTATCCAGGGGTGGGGAGGGGCAGGGCATAGTGAGACTGTGCTTTCCGGGTCCAGCTGGGAAATCAAGCAACAAATTGACCAATCGGACGAGTAAAGCCTCCGCCCACGACCCCTGAACACTCAGCACAGCTGACCTCAGTGCATCCCTGACACAGCGCTCTGGGTCCCGGTCCGCCCCATTCTTGTACCTGGGGAAACCAATAGTTAAGGCTTCCAAGGTGCCTCCCAGGCTTACCTGGTAGATGTGACTGGTCACAGAAGAGATGAACTTGGCCTTGTATATGTTGCCGTCTGTCCATCGCAGCTCCACCAACTCGCCCTCAGGAGGCGGCCCCAGCCGGACACAGTCTCTGCTCTGGAGAACGAGTGGCGTAGTAGAGGCCCAGGTCTTCCCTGCCAAGGGCCACTGTCCCAGTGCAGGTGAGCTGGGAGGGGCAACAGCCCAGCTCCCTCACTGCAGCACCCAGGGAGGCCTGGCCCCTGCCCAGATCCCACCCCGCCCGCCCACACCCTTGCTCCGTGCCCGCAGGCTCACAGTGATGCTCTCGGGGTACAAGTTGTCACTGTAGGACCCGTCGTCAAAGTTCACTTCGTAGAGGGTCTGGGTGGCGGCGCCGATGACGCGGCAGCGGTAGTACAGCCCGCTGCGGTTCTTGGCGATGACCACCTGGCCTAAGGTCACGGCCCTCAGAAACTGGACCTGAGGTGGGGAGAGGCCATCAGTTGAGGCTGGTGGGCAGAGCGGGGCAGCGTGGGCAGGGCAGGGCAGGCAGGACACTCACTGCATGACCCCTGGACTTGTGCTTGAGGCAGGTGATAGAGACCACATAGGGCCAGTCATCGGGTTCCATGAGGACACCAGCGGCGTGCGCGCAGGTCACATGGAAGGACGTGGAACAGTGCTCATAGGAACACTGGATACAGGCGCCTGACACCTTCTTCATCCGCTTCCGGCAGTACACGCACTTCTGGAACCACAAGCAGGGGAATGGGGTGGGTCTAGCACACCTCCTGCCCCAGGGACCCCAGGACTGTTTCCTAGGAATGTGTGAGCCCAGGGACAAAGGACAAATGTTCCTCCAACACAGCCCTGCAGCCCTAGGGTGGGGCACCTTGGGACCAGCCTGTCTGTGGAGGGGTCTTCACCAGCTGAGAGCTCCCAGCCTGAGCTGGATCCTCCGGACCCTCCAGCTTCCGTAGCCTGCGACTCCTCAGCAGCTCTGAGCAATGCCGCCTGCTCCCCGGCCTGAGCACAGCTACCACCAAGCAGGCACCAGTGCGGTGTGGTGCTGCTCAGCCCCAAAGAAGCTGGGGCCACCACAGGGAGAACGCCCAAGGACACCATGTTCAGAGAGAAGCAGATACACACCACAAGGCCGCCACGTGTGACTCCACTGATAGGAAACGTGCAGAACAGGAGGATCCAGAGATAGGCAGTGGACTCGGGGCCCAGGAGTTGGGGAGGGGACAGGGCTTTTTTTTTTTGGAGTGATGGAATGCTCCAGAGCTAGGTGGTAGTGATGCTTACACAGTGTGAATATACTAGAAACCACTGAATTGTGTGCTTTAAAAAGACCAAGAGGAAGGAATTTACCTATATATTCAACAAAAGCCCCACAGTGGCCTCTATGTCACCAGCCCACTGGTGAAGGCCCACACCACAGGCAGCGCCTCCCCTGCATAGCCAGGCTGCTGTCACCCTGAGCATTTAATAAGTGGGGCCTCCATCACTCTGTAAGCCATGTTCAAAGGCCAGATAAGCAGTGTGGTGAAGGGCCCGAGGCAGCACGCTGGCACACGGGTCGATGGCAATGAGACCTCGTTATTAAATTGTCAATACCTAGTTCCTTGCCAGCAGGGGCCGGTGCTGCTACACAGCAGGTGAGTGCCTTAGCCCTGGGTGCTGGGCCTCACCAGGGGGAGCCACAGGTACCAACCACCCTGTCAGCGTGTCCACCCACAGTACAAGTCATTTGGGCCCGAAGGTGACAGCTCATTATTCCACTTCCTGCGTCAAGAGGAATGGGTCCCGTGCACCTGCACTGTTATGTCAGGACTGCTCCCTGGGATGATGGTCGCCCAGGACCGTCAGGAGGTGGGGTGGACATGGACGTGCTCAGGCATCGTGCCCTGACCCTGGAGCCTGGATCTGAAGAGCTCTGTTCAGGCACAGGGTTGGTTCCCAGTTTCCAGCTTGGAACCCTTGGGAGGCCAAGGTCTATGGAGGACGCGGCATGGGCTTGGGATGCATACAGAGGGCTGAGGATTCCACAGACTGCCCAGAAAGGCCTGGGCACAGCTGGCTGTGGCCACCTGCTCCAGCCAGTGCCCTCTCCCATGCCTGAGGCTTTCCCAAGGCAGAAGCCTAAACCTACATGAGGACTGTTGAAACCAGTAAAGCTGGTTCAAACTGCCTGCCCCACTAGCTCCTCCAAGCCTCCCCCTAGACTTCCGGTGTCCAGGGAGCTGCCGGGGCTTCCACCAGCTGCCAGGACCTGTCCCACAACATGTCTGCAATCCCACAACCGGGCTGTGGTCCCTGCACTGAGCCCACAGCACGGAGTCTTGGAGACAGGCCCAGGGTGACTGTCCTGCAGTAGGGGCCACCAGGCCAGGCTGGCAGGAGTTAACTAATGTGCTGCTTGTGAGGCTCCATTAGGCAGTACAAGCGCGCCCAGTGTAAAAGGATTTTTAATGCATCGTTACAAGTGCTCGCGGTGAAGAGGCTGCTGGCTGGAAATGTCAGATGATCCATAAAGCGTCTGGGAGGGAGGATTTATCACGGCGCCTGCCCTGCGCCATCACTCCACCTGAATAATGAAGCCTTTTATGCCGCGGCTGTGGCCTGAGTTGCTGCCACCTGCAGCTACCAGCCTCTGATCTGCCCATCTGTGCTGGGCCAGGCTGGCCACCACTGCTTCCAAATGCACCCCTGCGGCTGTCTGCTCAGCCTGCTCTGGTGTCCTTGCAGCTGTGGGCTCCAGCACATAGTGTTTGTCCCCTGGGCTTGTGGAGTGGTGCTAACCAGTTGAACCCAGGCTCAGGGGCAGTGGCCAGTCCCATGCCCGTAGGAGTCTCTCTCTGCAGAGCGGCTGCCTGCCACAGCTAGTGGTGGCTGAAGTGCCAACTTCAGAACTGTCCTGGCCAGCAGAGGAAAAGCAGTGGGCAGAACAAACAGCAGGAACACTGCCTGGACTGCTGGCAGAGGGCCAGTGCACAGGCTGGGGTGGTGAGTGCGCCTGTCCACCACGCTGCCACCACATGCTGGAGCAAGGACATGACACCAAGAGCTGAGGCTCCTGAGCCTCGCTCCCAACCACTGCTGGCCAGATCCCACACTGCAGGAGATGATGCTAAGGACATGCTAAGTGTCCCTTTCCAGCAGGTAGGGAAGCCTGAGTGCCTCAGGTACAGGGAGCAAACAGGGTGGTAGTACTGCAAGCATCAAACATGGTGACATGACAAGCAGGCAGCAGAGGGCTGGGAAGAGAAGACACAGCAAGAACAAGCCCACATGTGCACAAGGCTTGTGCAGCAGGACTATCAGCAGCCCCAGACCACAAGTAGGAAGCTGAAGCACAGAGAGGGCAAGGAGTCTGTCTGGAGTAACACAGCTAGCCAGCAGCCAAGCTCTGACCCTCACCCACTGCTCTGCCACTTGGGGGCAACTGTCATTAATGAGGGCAGGAGGGAGTCTGGTGAGGCCCCACCATGCCTGAGAACGGCAGTACTGCTCAAGGGAAAGTCTCAGTATGCACCAAGGGGACCAGAGACAGCAAAAACCAAGTCACCCAGTTAGAAAACAGGCCAAGGACCTGAACCAATGTTTCTCTAGAAACAAGGGACAGTCAGACAACAGGAACACAGAAAAACACTCAGCATTACCAATCTCCAGGGAAAGGCAATCTGAGCCCCTGAGATGCCACCTCGCCCCTTGTAGCAAGGATGCTACTGGTGAGGACATGAGTTTTTATACCACGAAGGCCTCTCAGAGATCTATGGCCAGTGCGACCCCACCACCCAGCAGTTCTGCTGGGTCCAGGACGAGAGAAGTCAGTGTCCATAAAGTGAAGTGGGTCATCCCCGTGCCGTGCACCGTGTTACTCAGAACAGCCAGGTGTGGACCCACCCGTGTCCACCCACAGACGAAGGAACGAAGAAGACGTGGCCTGTCCCTCTGTGGAACGTTACTCAACCATGAAAGGAATTCTTGCTACACTTGGATGACCGTCAGATGAACAGAGGTGAGTCCAAGAAACAGTATGCTGAGGGGAATAGCTGGGTACAGTTAAGTGCACAGAAGCAGGGGTGGAGCAGGGCCCAGGGCTGCACTAGTGGCACAGAAGTGACGTCAGCAAAACAAGCTCTAAAGGTTGGCGGACTAGTGCAGCCACAGCTCAGGCCATGCTGCTAAGAGGGCAGGCCTCCTCCTAAGGTTACCTCTAGCAGCATAAACGCCAGGGATACGAGGGCAGGGTGTGAGGACAGCAGGGCTCAGCTGAGCCCTTCCGAGCAGAGATGTGGAGACCAAGGGGCTGGCTTTGGAGGACTTGGCTGTCACCATGGCCTTATGCACTATGGCTATTGCACTGGTGCTTATGGAAATGCCGCACACCACATACAACTGTGGAAATTCCTGCTGCAGGAAGGCCAGAGCTGGGACAGGCCTGGTGGGCACTGCAGGGTCCTCCAGGGCCTAGGGACAGGGCAGAGCTGGTCTCCCTCAGTGCGCACTCCCTGGCACCCATGGGGCCAGTGGGATGGAGGCCAAGCCTTGGGGCCGTACCAGTTTCCACCGCTGCTCAGGAATGCCACTGATGTCCACGGGGTTGCGCTCAATCACATTCAGGAACCGCACCTCAGGAACTGCGATGGCACAAATCACGTGGATCCACCTGGAAAAGTGGGACCAGGAGTCACAAGTGCACTGCTGACAGCCCTGGGAACATCATGAGGGGTTGGACAGATGGAGAGGGGACAGAAGGGCAGTGGGAGAGGAGGACAGGGCAGGGCAAGACCTGGTCCCCAACCGATGTGGCTGTTGGCTCCATAGGGGAAGGGACCCAAAGAGGCAGGTGGGAGGGACCCTGCTTCCCTGGTCCCTGGGGCACACACCTCTGCTCGGTGGTGGTCTGCAGCGCTCCTCCCCGGAGGTTGCACAGGCAGCACTCCTACAGGACAGCCAGCAGTGAGAATGCGGCCACCCCCACGTGACCCCCCAGTCCTCAATCCACCCCAGAGCCACCCACATGACTGGGTGGGGCATCGAGTTTCACTCTCCACACGGAGGGAGGGAAATCATGGCCACCAGCCTCAAATCAGTCCTGCTGTGACACTGCCTGCGAGGCTGCCCAGGCCTGCTTCCAGCACCACCCAGCGTGGGGCAAGTTACCGCAGTCCAGGCGTGGGCCGCGCACCGGGAGCACATCCAGCCCTCCTTAGCCAGCTCAGGACGAACACCGTAGCAACCTGGAAGATATCAGGGGGCAGAGAGTGCTGAGAGCCAGATGGTGCCTGTCACCTTAGCTGCTGGTACCACGAATGGACTGCAGGTTGCTGGTTCTCACCACCCTGTACCCCGCCCCCCCCCCCCACAGAAACCAGGGGTCTGTACATAGCCAGCAGCAGGGTCTGGCTCCTCAGCCTCAGCTGCCTCTGGGACCCCCAAGTCACCATCCAGTAGAGTTGGCCACACCCAGAAAGTTCAGGTACCAGAATGCTTTCTTTCTGTCCTGGAAGCCCCAACTTGCACCCGTGCCCCAGACACTGGAAAAAGGGGCAATGCCCATTCTTCTGCCCAGGCTCAGGCCAGCTTTTGGGACAGGGGAGGGTGGTGGCTGCTATCAGACACACCTGTCCCAGCTACTCTGGTGTGGCTTCTCACCAGGCTCTTGCTCCATCCTAGTCCCTGACAGCTTCATCTCCTGCTACCTCTCAGACCTAGGGCGGGGGCTCAGAGGGTCTGGACAGGAACCCTGTTCCCGAGGCCTCAGAGAGCAAGAACAGGGTTTCCTGAGACGCGGAATGAGCTCTGCGCCTGTGAGCTTTCCAGAGCATTTCTTGTTCTGGTCAGCACAGCAGGAGCTGGATGTGAGGTACGGGTGAGCATACAGAAGACACTTTGGGGTAGTGGCTTTGCTCCCACAGTGAAAAGCGTGGGCCACACTGTCTCCAGGTGGAGGAGCTGGTCCTCTCCTGGGCCCTGTCACCCAAGACCTTCAGAGCCATCAGAATGGCTGGGCCTTGTTTGTCCTTGCCCCAAATTTAAATGGTGGGACTCAGCCTCCAGCTCATGATGGGAAGCATGAGAACAGCAGTAAGAGACCCTGTGCAAGAGGCAACCGGCATGGGGGTCTCAGGTACATCCCCGGCCCCCCAGCTCAGTCCCAGCACTCACTGGCGTGGACCTGCAGGCAGCACTTGGCGCAGGCGATAAGTGGGCTGGTGCCATCGTCGCCCACACAGGAGTTGGCGGGCAGTGGCTCGGTGTTCTCGCCACTCGATGTGAAGCACATCTCTGGGATGAGTGGCCGAGTCCTCTGGCCGCTTTTGGAAGGCAGCGAGGTGGAGGAGCCCTCCCCAAGGGGGGCTGGGGCCGGTTCCTTCTCCGTCTGTACGGACTGAGAGGGAACAGCCTGCAGGGGGGCGCAGACCGTCCTTAGCGCCTCTTGTGGCTCTGCCCCCAGCTCTAGGGATGTCTGCCCTGTTGAGCCAGGCCAGGCTGGCCACCTGCTCCCTTCCCACCCATCCTCTCAGGGTCTCATCCAGATGCCCACGCTGGCCCCATGTAGCCACTGGCCTATGGCTTGCCCAGGAGGACGTGATAACTGGTCACAATGCTGCATGCAGCAAGTGGAGCTGAACCCCATCTGACATGGGACTGGTAGAGCACCTGCCCAGCAAGTACAAAGCCCTGAGTTCAAACTACAGTGCCGCACAAAAAAAAAAAAAAAAAAAAAACTCATTCATCACTCTATGTGACATAGGGTGACTCCCAGCAGCCTCTCCAGCAAAAGACAGAATGTTCTTGGAGAAGGTTTCTAGAGATGACATCTTATGTGTTCTGGTGACTAGAGTACTAGATACTCAGAGGTAGCAGAGCAGCTCAGAGCAGCAGGACCTTGAGACAGGACCATTGCCTCTCCAAGAGTATCTGACTGAGCATAGCCACCCAGTGAGGGCCCCTCCCAGGGCCATGTGGTCAGCAGGGCAGAGAGCTGGGCAAGTGAGATACACAGTTCCGTCCTCCCAGTCATGGAGGCTTGGGCAGGGAGGAAAAGCGGGCAGAACCCAGCAGCCAACAGCACAGGGTGGAAGCAGACAGAGAGAAGGCTCCCACCCAGGGCACAGGATGTGGGGGGCTGGTATACAGCACACACAGCACGCTGGCTAGGGCTTCACAAGGCAGTGGCCTCCCTGCTGGGCCCCATGGTGGTCTTGCCCTGGCCCAGGTCCCATCACATGCTCCCCCACACCCATTGGTGCCTGGGATCCTGGGCTTCTGCCCCACCACATGTGAGCAGTCACTGCCACACCTCATGCCTTCCCCTCCTTGTAGCTCAACTTTGCAGAGATGTGTGTGGACAGGTCACACTCCAAGGCGCCTGCAATGCAGCCTCTGAACACATGAATACACACACACACACACGCACACACACACGCGCGCGCGCAGCCCTCAAAATGCCTCCTGGGGTGGGAAGGGGAGGCCTGTAGCCAGAGACAAATGGACTGTCCTTCCCTGACTGGTTTCCTTATGTGTAGGTAAAGCCAGCGCTGGTGACAAAGGCTGCCAGGCTTGTGGCGAGTGGCTCACCTGGCTATAGGGGTAGAAGAGAGTGCAGATGGCACAGTAGGGCTCAGTGAGGGCGGCTGCCGCATTGAACTTCCTCTCAGCCTGGAAGCTAGCCGCCTTGTTCTTCCACTGCAGGGACAGCAGAGACCGCAGTGCCTCAGGGTCACTCACATCCTCTTCTCCAGAGAACGGGAATGCTTCTGGAACGCACAAGTGAGGTGGGAAGAGAAACTTGAGAGCTAGGAATGCATCCAATGAGCCACCCAAGCTGTCCAGTGTGCTGCCTGTGATGTGGATGGGCCCAGATCCCTTCTGCAGGTCTTACCACCTGGCTGGGGTCCCCAGTCCCTTGCTCACCGGGTTCTCCATGGTATCCACCATGGTCTGGCAGGTTGTACTTTGGGCCCCTACCAGGTGTCAGGATGCCTGGTTCCCTCCTGGTGCCCAAGCCCCACCCTCAATATCTGTGGAACTCCCTGGATATTTGGAGCTGCTCACCTGCCCAGGACCCCCAAACCATGGATCTGCCAATTCATCGTGCCCATTCTGCCCTGCTGTTCAAGCCTGCCAAGGCTATGTCTGGACACGAGACAGAGGGGTAAGCCGGAGACCTGCAGAGAGCCTGGGCACCACTCCCCTCACTGCCCTGATTTCTGGACTGGCCGTTCTTTCTTGTACCGGGACTGGTCAGCCCGCTGGTGTGCATCTGTCCATCATGGGCAAACACACAGCCTGAGCTGGACAGGGCTGTCAAAGAAGCATGGCAGAGACTCAAGGAAGGCAACAGCCGGGCCAGTGGCAGAGACTCAGCAGTCAGGTGGAAGCAGGTCACCAGTGCCTTAACCCACCAGGGACAGACACCTGATTGAGACTACAGCCATTACTTCCCCTGGTCTTCACCTGTCCCCAGCTGGACCCTGACACACATTACCAGCCAGCCCTCCTCACACCTCCTATGGATACAGGGGTGCTGTCCTAAGAAGAAGAGTGCATCTTCTTGGCTCATCCCTTAACATACCTGGGTAGGCCTGCTGGTGCCTACATGGTCCCAGCTAGGCTTGTGCCCCTGTTCATTGACAGAAGCCAATGCACGCCACCTGATGTGCAGGCCCAGGACCCCTATAGAAGGACTGAGGATAATCTCAGGGCTAAGACTGCTCTCTGCCTGAGAGCCCAGGCCCAGTAGCCCAGCTGGCTCAGTCTACAGAAAGCCCCACATGGGCTCCAATGGGCCTGGAATGACAGGGGCTGACTCAGTCATCCCTCAAGATCCCAGGACGGTGCTGGGTCATGGGTCACAATAGCCATACTAAGAGTCCCTGGGATGAGGGCACCCCCAGCCCACAAGGTCTTGAAGGCACTTCTGTAAAGAGTCTAGCCATAAAGTGGAGGCCCCAGAGCCTAGGGTCAGGCTCAGCCTCCGGCCAGATGCCTGCTGCTTCCCGGCCACACTTCTAGAAACCCTATTCTTCTTCCAAGTCCTCAAATTACACCCAAGATGAAAAAAGCCACCTAACAGCTCTCACATTCTACCTGCATCTTAAGGAAAGGTGGAAGCAGAACATGAAAAACAGACTTTGAGGGATTTCTGTATACACGAGGCACTGCTGCTCCGTGTGCCAGTCCTGCTCCAGTCAGCCACAGCCTTTCGTTCCTGCCTCTCCCAGGCTTGGCCCAGCCTTGGGACATAGCCTGCACTCCCCAGCCTAGTGTGACCACCTGCTGTGGTGCCTCAGCTGGCAGTAGGGGTGGCCTCCAGCAGGCTTTCCTCTGTCACCTGCCTCTGAGGACAGACTTGCATGGCTGCCGTCTCTACTAATGGATGTTCAGGCCTTGAAGGATGTTCCCCTGGAAATGAGCCTAAAGATTAGGAGGGGGACACATGTGTGCCATGGCTGTGACCCTGGAACTCTGTACCCATTTCTAAAACCTTATCCCAGATGGATATGGCCCACCCAGTGCTCACACTGAGGGCATCTCAGATACAGGCCTCTACATGTGTTCAAGGAGACCTAGTCAGCTACAGACACTGAAACAGACCCCAGGCAGAGCAACGGAGAAGGGGAGCCAGGAGGGCTGATTGCAGGTGCTGAGAGGCAGAGCTGTTGGTAGACAGCATCCATGCAGACCCCGAGATGCTGCCGCCACAGCCACCACAATCACAGCCACTACAATCACAGTCCCCAGGTCCTGCTCCCCAGATCTCTTCCTAATGAGTTGAGGCCGGCAGTCCCAATGCTTGTCTGGGGACCATGAGTCACGCAAAGGTGACGGCACCTAGGGGGTCTGATCCCCTCACTGCCCATGTGGGGTTTCAGACCCCAGGTGCATCTGAGCAGGTACTGCTGTGGGAGCCAGGGTAGAGGAAGTGAGGCAGGGCCTGGGGGTGGCCTGGGAGGCACACCAGAGGACCAGGACTGCTGGTGCTCGGCAGGATGTGATAAGGGGTGGGGTGGGGGTTGTGTGCTAAGCCCTCCATTCAGCTGCTGACAGTCTGACACAGTGGATGCAGCAAGGGCAAAGGGAGAGGCCTGGGCAGCATTGCTTCTGTCTGACCTGGGGCAGGTGTGGAGTGGGTATGGAGAGGAGAGGGGCCAGGTTCTGGGTGAGGAGGTGCCTGCAGCACAGAATGGAGCAGCTGCACTCAGCTGAGCAGCAGGGCTGAGGTGGGCACTGGCCGCTCACACCACCCCAGTAGTGGGGGCCCTGCTCACCCTCATCACTTGAGGCCTCCTGCTTAACCACGGAGAGTGGGGACCGGGTGGGTGGCCTTCCCAGAGGGTGGCGCCGGCTCTTCTTGATCTCCATCTTTAGTTTGGAAAAGGTAGATGGCACCTGGAACACAGAACACACAGCCCCTGTCAGGGTTGGCTGACCTGGAGCAGGAGTAGCTGGGCCATGACAGAGTCTCAGCCAGGGCCTCTGGGTGCAGCCCAGCTAGCCCTTCCCCACTACCCACCTGCACATCGCCAGCATGGGCCTTGGTCTCCTCCTCGGAGCCCATAGGCTCCAGCGGGGCAGCCTGCGGGCTGGGCCCACGGCCCCCATCTGGTGCAGCATCAGCCCGGGCCACCACGTACAGCATGGGGATGATGGGCCGTGGTTTGTCCTGCTCCTCTCCTGGCACTTCAGGTGCTACCACATTGAGGGGCACAGGCGGGGGACCCTCTTCAGTGGCCACAGGGCCTGGTGCCAGCACTGGGGGTCCCGGGGGTGGCAGCCGCAGGACCTCCTCGGTGGGGAATGGAGCTGGTGGCAGCTGTGGCAGCAGCTGGGGTGAGACATGGCCATAGTTCTTCTTTTTCCGGTCACTCTTGGTCTTGGCCGGCCGCAGCTTGCCCCTCCCGTCCTCTGCAGGGAAAGAGAGGCAGCCAGTCAGAGCCACAGCCCACGAGATCCAGGAGCTCAGCTTGGCACCCTGGGCCCACGTGCTTCCTGGAAAGCACCACTGGGGGCAGGTGACAGCTTGGATGAAGGCCCCTAAACAAGGGGCACAGAGCTTGGTCCCAGGCAAGTCCAGACCCCTGCCAAATCCCCTCCTGGGAACTGGAGACCAGCCAGGTTCCTCATCAGAAACTAGCCAGGAAGCAGCACCCCACTCGGAGGTCTCCAGGGACCTTCTGGAATAGGTGCTGCATGAGGGAGGTGAGGGCTCTCAGCAGCTGTGGAGAGAAGCTTTTTTGTGCCTGTGGCCTCCTATGTTCCTCGCCAGGTTGGGGCATGGGGAGAGAGGGTGTTTGTCTTCTTCTCACGTGTCTGAATGTCATCCCTTTCTATAGTCACTGTAAACGACCTGCTGTTTTCAAAAGCGAACCCTCCAACCAATAGAGTGACACTTGAGTGGAATGAAAGGACGGGAGCCTGGAGAGGCCCAGGGCTCCAGCTGCCTGAAAACCCCTAGGATGGGTGCTATAGAGGGTTCTGGACAGGTAACTGGGTGTGGGAGGGGTCAGGCAAGGCATGTCCTTACTTTAATTTGGTGCCAGGATAGGTGTGTAGCAAATGACATAAAATAGGCAGGCCGTGTGGGCCCAAAGATGTTTTTATCCTGATCCTCAGAAACTGTGGCTAGGTCACCTTCCATCGCAGAAGGGACCCTGAGCTGGAATCATCCAGGGCACAGCGTCACCCCGGGATCCTCATAGAGGCAGGCAGGAAGTCACAGGCAGAGAGACTGGGAGACACTGTGCTGCTGCTCTGCTGAGGCAGGAAGGGGCCACGAGCCAAGGGCCCTAGGAACTGGGACGGGGGGTCTGCCTTGCTGCCCCATCTGGACTATAGACTTCTGCCCCCAGACCATGAGGGCATCAGCAAGATGCTTTAAGCCACTGAGCTTTGTCACCACTGCCACAGGATGCTCCCCATGCAGGTGGCAATGTGTTCCAGGGCTGCCCGGCTGAGTGAAGTGTGGCCTGACCTGTGGAAGCCTCGCAGTCCCCATGCTGTCCACCTGTGGACAGCAGCTCAGGGCCCACCTGCGTGTTTCCAGCTTCCAGGGAGTTCAAGAAGTCACACACAGTGTGCTGGTTGCTTGTAACTCTGTGCTAATGGTCCCAGTTTGCCAAAGACTGAGGTTCCGTGGCTGCAGGACTTGTAGTCCTGGCAGCTAGACCAAGCTTCCCCTCACTAATGGCCCATGGTCAAGGAGGCTCTATTGCAGTTTCCTTGGGCTTCTCACCACCATGGGAACGAACCATCTCTCCTCACTAACCTGGTGACAAAGTGATGCCTAGCCAGGTCTGACCTGAAATGGCTTCCACATCCTACCTCGAGTGTAAAGACTGGCCATCCACCATTCCTCATCCCATGGCCGTGGAAGCCAGAACTGGCTGGCCAAATCTGCCACCCTCAAGTGAAATAAGCTCCTAGGCAAGGGCTCACTAGTAACCCGGAATGGGGTTACACGAAGACAGGATGAAGGCCACATTGTCTGCACCCCTCCTGGCCCTACATACAGGCTACACTTGCAGCTCATTATGGCAAGTGCTCAGCAGAAAACTCAAGCCTTTCTTTTCAAAAGAGCAGCCATATGGCACCAGGAACCTTGTGGCACTTGGTGTGGGACACTGTAATCTTCCTGTTGCCAGTTATCTGGCCGAGGAAGATATACAATGGGCACTCAGCACAGAAGAGGCTTCGGTCTGGGCAGCCATGGGTGGTGCTTTACCTAGTGACAAGATATTGGGGTGTCCTGGCACCCTGCCTACCCATGGGGCAACACAAGTAGGGTGCCCAAGGGTCAAGGGTTGTTCACACCAGCCCCGGCACCTGCTGGGAAGGGCTCAATTCTACCACCCTAGAAGAAAAGGTGCTGAGGCAGCAAGCTGGGTGCAGCTGCTGTGCCGTAAGTGTGACTTTAGGTCACACATCCTGGGTCTCAGGAAACTCAGAAAGCCCCCACAATACACATGGACGAGACAGAAAGCAAGTGGGCATCCCCCAGCCTCAGCACTGTGACTACCACTTATCCCCATATGGACCCCACCATGCTCAACAAAGACCAACTCAGCCCTCCACCCCAGGACTGCACAGTCTCCTCCCAAAATGCCCCTGAGATCAACTTCCTTTGCATCTGCGACCCAAAAGATCTGGCCTAGGTGGTTTGGTCTTGGGACCCAGACAGGGTTCCGGAATGAGGCTTTGGTGGGGGTGTGGAGCCCAGTGCTGGCCGCGTGAGAGCCTCCCACATTGCTGTGGAGCGGGTGTCCACACATGTGGCAGTGCCACCTCTGCTGGGATGAGTTAGGACAGGCCTGTGTTCTTCAGAGGGCCACACATGCCAAAGCCCCACCATCCTGTCCTGGCTGCCCAGCTCTAGGAGGATGGGCACCGAGACAGATGGGACAGGACCGGAGCCACAGGCTTCCCTGTGACTTGTATCTCACTCTTCTTGTAAAGTAACTATTAACACTAGGAGTTCTGAGCCCACTCAATTAATAACCAGAGGCCCCCACTTCCCTGATTTTCAAGTGTACAACACTAAGCCCCCAGCCTCTTCCTGTAACCTCTAGGCTCTGGAGCACTGCTGACACATCCAGGGGGTCCTCTTGGTGGGGAAAGCTGAAGCCAGAAAGGATACCCCAAAAGGAGGCACCACACCCAAGAGTCGTCTCTTGGGACCTTGCTATGGGGACACTGAAAGCCCAGGGTGGCCACACCACACTGGGGACCCTGAAGGGGCTGAGGGTCCCAGTTGGGGCCCTCTCAGGACCATGGGCCTGTCCCTTGCTGGGGTGCTAGGGCAGGTAGTGTGTGGACAAGTAGACACCCTTCTAGGACTTTTTTTTTTTTTAATGTGCAGTGAAGCCACAGCCAGGACCCCTAGACTATTGGTCTTTCTCAGCCTGTTCTGGAGCTTGCACCTCTCCATGTGTCAGCTCTGGGGTGCCAGGCCCAGGCAGCCCCAGCACAGGACACCACTGCAGTCCAAGGACACTGGCTGTTCCTGTCCAAGGTGGCCAGGTGTGAACACATCTGGAGGGAACCTGAGTAGCAGCCTGCTAGAGAGGGTTGGGCAGGTGGGAAGCCACTGGCACCCTTGCCCTGCAAGTCACTGAATGGCTGCCCAGCCACTCCTTCATCTCCCACCAGAACCACTCCACATGGAACCAATGTCCTCACCCCCACATCCCACAGGGGCCACAATGCCACCATCCCATGGCTGCAGTGCCCCTGGTGGGAGTGGGGGGTGGGCGTCCTCTCTTCTGCCCCTGAGGGCCCATGAGTTGGTGTCCAGTGGGGCCAGGGGGCAGCAGCATGGGGTGAGCCCAAGGCTCTGAGTCTAAGCCCAGTCTCTTTCCACCTGTGTGTCTTCCCCATAACAGCACCTAGCGCACCATCTTCTGACCAGCAAAAAGGGACATTCATTTCACACGGCCCAACAGCAAGGTACCCATGCACCCAGCTCCCCCGGGGGCTGCACGGCCCCTGCTCCAGCCATCTTGCCAGGAATACCCCATGTCATTGCTCTCCTTTATGCTCATCTCTCTGGGAGAAATCAGCACATGCTCAGGAGACACCATGCCTGAGGCTGGAGCCCTGTAAGAACTGGTGGCACTAGTCTGTCTGATGGGTGATCTTGCTGAGTACAGCTCACATCCCATCCCATGTACAGTATAGACATGGGGCCAAGGGTCCTGGCACAAGGCAGCCACACCCTGTAGCCTGGGTCAGGAGTGGCAGTCACTTGTACAGCTAGAACAGTGTCCCCAAGTTCACAGGCTGACACCCTAACTCAGGACTCAACACGACCATCCGTGGGAATAGGGCCCCTACAGAGGGAGGTGAGAGGAGGTCCTGAGGGAGGGCTGGCGCTGCAGTCTTTATGCAAAGAGGCCCAGCTGTGCACACAGGAGGCCCCAGGTGAGCAGAAGACACCTAAGGTGAGGTCTGGCCTTTCCAGCTTCCAGTGCTAGCCAGGGAGAAATTGTTGCCAACCAAGCCACCCAGTCTGGGGGACTTTGTTACGGTGGAGACTCACACACCCTGAACAACCCCTTGTCTGGTCTGTCAGGTCCTCTGAAGTGTAAACTGCTGGAACAGAGTGTGCATGCTCCCACAACACCAGGTCACGTCTGAGGCCACCAAGATGGACTGAGGTCATGGGCTCCCTAGGTGTGGGTGGCATCTCTCCTGTCTCACACTGGCATGGCAGAGGGCAACCCAGGCACCTCGTCCTTGTCCCTTGTCCACAAGTGGACATTGTTTTTGTGCTTGCTGCTGTCCTTGGTGTTCAATGAGCAAGTCCCTGCAGGGCACCAGCCCTCGGGGTCTCAAGGGTGCAGTCCCTGAAGGGCTGACTCACCACAGGAGGCCAAGTTGGTCTCTGGAGTGGGATCTTGTTTGTGCCCAGCCAGTGGCGGGGGCACTGAGAGCCCATCCTGGCTCCGGCAGACTAGCAAGCACAAGGCAGCACCTATGGTACATGGCCTTGAGTGTGTGGGACTTGTGGACCTGTGTCCTCTGTCGCCTGCACCTCACCTGCAGGAGCCTGTTCTACATTCTGGTCTCCATGTGGTCTCTGTTGCACAGCCACGCGTACCGCAGACTTCTTCCCTCCTTTCCTAAACGTTTATCTTTTTTGATAAGTCCAGATCTTAGAGTGATCAAAACCATCAATATCTTTCTGGTATGTGCTTGTTCATGAAAAAATACTCTAGCCTAAGGAAATAAAGATTTGATTTCCTACTTCATGTTGATGAACTTTCAAAGTTTTATCTTTCCAACACCAATTCTTAAGCCAGGCAGGCAGTGATGGCGCCCAAAGACATCCATGTCCTAATCCTGGAATCAGCTCACATGGCAGAGGGGGCCCTGCAGGTGGGATCAAGCAAAAGACTCAGAGCTGGGATCATCCTGGATCATCCAGGGCCCAGTGTTGCCTCAGGGTCCTCACAAGAGGGAGGCAAGAAGTCAGAGGCAGTGAGACTGCGAGATGCTGCACTGCTGTTCTGAAGAGGGAGGAAGGGGCTAATGAGCTGAGGGATGTGGGGCCTCTAGGAGTGGGGATAGGAGGGATGTGATTCTCCCTGGAGCCTCCAGGAGGGAGCAGCCCTGCCTCACCTGGAATGCAGTTCAGGAATGTTCCCGTCAGATTTCTCATCTCCAAGAGTATGAAAGAATAAATATATCTGGTTTTAGGCCACCATGGTCATGGCCATTGGTCACATGGTCCACAGTATGGGTGGTGGGAAGGATGGAGCCTCCTGGTCACATGTCAGGTGTCTACTGTTCCAGAGCCGTTTCTGAACCCTCAACACATCCATTCTCGCTCAGATTCTACAAGCCTGTGTCTGGAGGGCAGCCTGGCCTCTGTGTAACTCTCATCTATTCTTGTCCTTTACCCTTTGCATCTAAAACAGCTCTCTGGCATCACCTGCAGCCCCTAAGCCCTGGGGGTCCTGTGTGGAACTGTAGGGACAGCAGGTAGGGGAGGGGATGGCCTGTATGTCAGGAAACCTCCAACACCTGGCACACCACTCTAGTTATTCAGCAATTCCTGGCTTTCAAAGTCTCTTGGGTTTTTTCTTTTTTGGTTTTTTAAAGCTTTACTTATAAGGCGAATTACTTTTTGGTTCAGTTATTCGAAGTCCTCATTGTGAAAGTGCTGTTTCTTCTGAATGGCTGGTGGATGGGAAGCACAGTCCCACTTTTGTATATCAGGCTTGGTGGCAGCATCTTGCCGGGCCCCTGGTCACTGTCTTTATCTGTCTGTGGACGCAGGGCGTCCTTGCCAAGTACCCTACCTTTTCCACACAGGTAATTCTGTCCAGGCAATGATGCATTAAGAGCTATTCATTTCCTCTGTAGCCGGGTTCAGGTTTGACTTCTGCCTCTTCCCTGAAGAGTTCCCATGGTGTGGCACAGACTCATGGCCTTAATGTCCCCAGTGCACATCACGCTGGGGGCCAATTCTCCCTGCTGCCATCTCTCCTGGAGCACCCATGAGTCTCTGAAGACAGGCTGGCTGACATCGTGCTGTGTCCCGTGTCTCACCCACACCCACCATGAAAAAGCCAGATGGGAAGGGAAGCCCCTTCCCTCAGGAGCAGTGCCACCTGCATGCAAGAGATGCAGAAGCCGAGGGATAGGGAGGCCCAGCCACAGGAAGAGGAGACACCCTCAGATTCCACAGCTCAGAGGTCCCCTTGCCATACAGCAAGCACTCCCCCAGCAGCACTGTCTTCCCTAGGAGATGCCCTGCCTGGGGAGAGCAAGAGGCCAAGCCAAGTGAGGTGGGAGACCGGCTCCTGGGGCAGGCAGATTCTGGCCAGTCCCTGTGTGCAGAGGGGCCGCCTGCTGCAGGCCGACCATTAGCGACCCTACATTTGGTTTCTGGGAAAGGCCGCCTTCCACTGGACAGCCACCCCACAGTGTGCACTTCCTGCAGTGCCCCATCTGGCAGCAAGGTGGTAGGCCTGGAATCTCCGAAAGCTTGGGCTCCATGGCTGTGGCAAGCTGGCTCCTCTCAGGAAGCACAGCAGGTTGGGAAAGAGCCTCATCCTGACACCACAGTGCCTGGAAGGGACTGACCTTCTGCTCCCTCAGCCTCCGCGGCCTGGCCCTGCTGTGGCTCTTCGTCCTCCTCCTCTAGGTCGGCTTCGGGCGCAGCCTCCCCTCTCATGCAGCCCCCAGTCTCCTCCAGGAGGGCGGCCCCCTCCCCCGGGGACTTAGGGTCCTCAGGCTTGGGCTTCTTGGGCTGGCTCCGCTTCCGGTGAGACCTAAGGAAAGAGAAGCGTCAAGCAGGAGGGAGGCCGGGAGCCCTGCTCCTCCTGGAGCTCTGGCGGCAGGGGCTAGGGCCCTGGCTGGGGTTTCTCTCTGAAGTTGGGGCTGAGGGGAGTGGGGAGGGGTGGTGTCAAGCGGGTGCTGATGGCAGCTGAGATGGGCACTGACTGACACCAATGGGATGGTGGGACAGGGACCCCGACTCTGGGAGTGGTGCAGTGGGCGGGAGACACAGGGAAGGAGAGGCGATTGCCAGCGGCCCGCGTGAGATGCTGGACAGCGGACAAAGGGAGACACACTTACGCCAGCCCCGGCTTTTTGGTCTGCTCTCTCCTCCTCTCTAGATTTGGTTTCCTCTCCTCCTCAGTCTTTCTCCAGTGTCTGTTTTCTTTCAGACTAATTTGTCTAGAATGTAAATTTCAGGGGGTTTTTGTCTGACTTCTGCTCCACTCCCCAGGATGCTCTACCTGGGTTCTACAGGATGGTGGCCCATCCCGACTCCCTGGGTTCTACAGCCTCCAACACAGGGGCTACGAGCTTACATGGCCTCCCTGACCCACAGGCTGCCCCAGCCCAGGGTCACATCTGCTCACAGGGCACAGGGACAGGCCACTATCCTGCGCATCCCCCCATACCTGTACACTGGCCCCAAGTGAGGAATTCAACCTGAGGCCTGCAGGCTTGGCTCAGCTACAACTTCTAACCAAAAATAAGGGAGAAGGGGGTTGAAAAGGAAGAAAGAAGCCAGCTGTGGTGGCTATAATTCCAGCTACCTGGGAGGCAGAGGCAGGAGGATGGCAAGTTTGAGGCCAGCCTGAGCAAAGGTCTGTCTCAAAAACAAAAAAGAAACTAAAGGGCTAGAGCGTAGCTCAAGTGGCGGAGCACTGGCCAGGTAAGCCAGAGTTCGGGGTTCATTCCCAGTATGGCCAAAAGAGAGAGGAGACAGAGACAGAGGAGGGGGGGTGGGGGGGGGAACAAAGGCAGGGAGGCCGCAGATAGGTGGGGACAAAAGCTGCTTTTAAACTGATGAGGGATGTAGCTTCCCCAACTGTCCCTAAGTCCAGGCTGGGAAGGGTTATCAATGCCCCGCAGAGGTGGGGGCAACCCCTGCAGCCCCATCCCCACCCCTACGGGGGCCTCCTTGGCTTCACAGCCCCAGTCTGCCTCGCCTATCATCTCCTCTAAATTCTCAGTGGCCAGATAGATCTGTGAGCAGCATCTCTGTGGTGCTGACCAGGCAGACTTCCTCTTCCTAACTGGAGTTTATGCTCCCTGGCTGCATCCTCTCCCATACCCCCTGAAGGGTCTGTAGTATGAGCCATGAGACGACCGGCAGCAGAAAGCGGTGTGGCACTGGGGGTAGGGGTGGGGGAGGCACAGGCAGAGGCATGGCAGGTGGCACACATGGGGCAGGGTGCACGCAGGGGAGGCTGGGCCAGGCTGAGAGGATGAGGGTGGGGGGGAGGCACTGACACAGGGAGGAGGAGGGTAGGGGCCTCGGGCCACCCACCCTGGGGATCTTCCCTACCCCAGTACCACCTCTGGCTCAGGGCAGGCCTCAGTGGCTGGGAAATGTAAGGCTTTGAAACTTTGGGGTTTAGCACTAGAGTCATCTATGGTCACCCCTTGTGGCGGGAGGAGGTGCTCCTCCCTAGGCCTGGAATTGCATGGAGGCGCACCCAGCCCCAGACAGCACTCCTAGGTCAGCCTCTGACTAACTCGCTTGGCCTCAATTTCCCAAGCTGCCCTGGTTCTTCAGCCCCTCCTGTCCTCACCATGGATTCAGTCCTGGAGGCTACTTCTAGGCTCTCAGCAGATGAGGGGCATCCTCAGGTCTCAAGACTGCTCCTCAGAGCACAGACCTATATGGCTACCCCTACCATGTTACTGAGGGCTCCAAGGCAGAGGACGCACCTGCCTGAGTGACCTCCCCAACTTGCCTGCCTCAGGCCCAGAACTGGGCCCTGCACCGCAGAGATCAGGTGGGACCTGGTGTGCACATGAGAGGGCCATGCCCATAGAGCCAGGACAGGTTGCACACGGCACAGCAAGGGACAGCATGGGGGGACACAAGATGTGAAGATAGCTCTGCACATCCAAGAGTCATCCCCAATGTGCATGCCCCCATGTCCTTGCTGTCACCCCCTCTCCTGAGGCCCCTCCCAGATGCAGGGCCTCCATCTGTCTTTTCTAGTCCCTCTGCGTCTGTTGATGCGGCCATCCTGTTGTCTGGTGTTGGCTTCCTCTCCTAGCATCCAGCCCCCAGCAGCCAGCACCTTGGGTGGGGCAGCATTCCATCCACATGCACCTCTGCAGGACTCCATGCCGATCAGCCAGGGCTGCAGGGTCCTATGGGCTGTGCTCCCTGCTGGCAACCACTGTGTTAGTACTGGCCTCTCTTCTTTTGGATGCTTAGTATTCTTGGCATCTCCAAGCACCTCTGGCCTCACTCTCACGACTCCTCTTACAGTGGTCTCCTATGCAGGGGTGATATTCCTCCTCAGTGACAACCAGGGAGTAGGCCTCAGTCCCTGCTCCCTGACAGCTGGTAGCGCTCAGGTCACTATGGCATGACTCTTGACTCCCTTTGACTCTCCTGAGTCTGCTTCCTTGGTCCTATGGCTTTCCTGGATTCTGCTGTTTAGCTGGAGCACATCCTGCAGTAGCGTTCTGAGGAAGGAGGTGAAATCTGGGATGTTGTACTTCTAAAAGACCTTTACACCTGTGCGTGTCTCACAGGTGTCTGGGTGGGCACACTGACTGCTGAAGGCCCATTCCCTTGTTGTGTAGCTTGCTGCATTATGAGCTTCTTGCTGACCTGTTTACTTGCTACAAAAGGGATGGGTTTCCTGCCATGGTGCAGGCGATTCTGGACCTCTGCCAGGCTCTCAACCTGGAAACACACAGCAGTTCAGCTGAGGACTCTGTCTTATTTGGAAACTCCAAATAAGACTCTTTGTATGCCCATGGATCCCAGATAAGCTCTTGGCTCAGGTTCTTGCTGTGCAGGAGTCAGCATGACCCTCAGTGCACCCCACAACAGGCTCTTCCCATAAACGTGGTCACTTTCCACCATGTAGGTTGTTTTCAAGTTTTCTGTGGAGCCCGGCTTCTCTTCCATCTCCAATCCAGGCTTTCCCACCCCCAGGACCCGGTGATTCAGGACCAAGGCTGATACTGCTGTGGATGAGGTAGAGACCAGGTTGTTGGCTGTGTGAGGGGAGTACTGAATGGAGCCATGGCAGGCACAGGAAAAGAGCAGGAGCTCTGGCGGGCCACAGGGAGTCTGTGCCAGGATCTGTGCTGTGGGGAGGCTGTTACCCAGGAGATGCCCCTCCCTCCTGCCCACCCAAGGCCACCTGGGTTGGACCTCAGTAGGCATGCAGCTGCCCACTGTCTTGTGTAGGGAGATGGGTAGCTTGGGTATGTGGCCAGCCCCAACACAATGGGCACAGCTCCTCCTGCTCACAGGCACCACAGCCCCATCCCAGGAGGTGCCAGTCTCAAGCCCTGTGCCCTCCACAGTGCTGGTGGCTCAGACAGTCAGAGCTTGCTTGTCTGCTCCTTTTCTTCAAAGTTGTCTCAACTTCTGCATGGCTATGTGTGGCTCCAAGCACAGGAGTTGGATGTGAGGCTGTCCCCGGGCTGTACTGTCTCAGACACACATGGCCCCTTGCTTGGCCCCCTTCCCTGTGGTGCTCCCTGCCTCCAGGCAAGGACCTGAGAATGTTTGAGAACCTCAGTTGTGAAAAACTGAGGACATGTTTTGGGGGACTTCAGTGAGTCCCTAGCTCCAAAAACCTCTGTGGCCAGCAGGTGCCAGGGCCTGTTCCTGGGCAGCCAGGCACTATGTCTATAGGGGCCTGGCGGAGTAGGGCAAGTAGGGTGGTGGTGCCCAGCCACGGTTGGGGGTGTGGTTCAGAGTGAGAACGAGCCAGGTAGCAGGGAGAGGAGAGGGGCAAGGCTGCTTGTCCACAGGGCTCGCTGGTGACTGTAGTGGGTTGCGCCTTCCCTTCTCATCTGAGGGCATCACAGGGTGCCGGGGGAACTACTGGTCGATGACACAATGGGCTATGCTTGGCTGGCGGAGGCGGACGAGCAGTCTCCCATGTGGGCAGCTGGGCTACAGGAGGGAGGATGAGCATTTGCCCATCCTCCTTCCCAGTGACAAGGTGGGACACAGGCTCTCTGCACACTGGGCAAGGCAGAGGGCCACACCTGTTGGAGTGCCCCTGAGGTTCTGGTTGGAGCGGCAGGAGATGGATGGAAATGTGGCCTGGACATGGAGGGACTGCCTATACTGGCAGAGGTCAGGGCAGGAGGAGGACCATGGTTCTGTAGTTCTCATTTTCAAGGAGGCCACAGGCCCCTGGTCTAAGGGTGTACACAGCCACCCCCTGTGCTACCCCAAGCCAAGGATGTTCAGGTAGAGGCACTGCAGCCCCAAATAAGCCCTCTGAAGCTCAGAGTCCCAACCACAGGGATGGGCACGGCTGGGGTAGGGGGATGGCCACATGGAGGGCCCTGGCCTGCCAGGGAATGGTACAGCGGGTACAGAGGCACTTACAGGCTGCAGGAGCCTCAGGTGAGGGCTTTTAAACATACCTGCAGGCAGCACTGGTCCAAAAGAGCCAGTGACTTAGAAGGGAAAAGGAATCAGCCTTGTTTTACATACTAAAAGCTTTAAAGAAAATTACATCCTTGGGAACATGACTTAATTTGTTATTCAGTCCCTCTGTCGGATTATTACAGCTCCCCAGGATGGCAGTGAACGAGGGCGGCAGGCAGGCTGGGGGGGGGAAGAGGAGCGCCCCAGAAAGGAATGAGCTCGTGACTAGTGGCCAGGGGCTGGGGATGGTGGGGGGGCCAGGCTGTTCTGCAGGTCCTCTGTGTGAAGAAGGTTCTGGCAAGGTGAGCTCCCTCTGTGGTGTTTCCTCTTGGCAGCTCTTTAGACAGCCTCCAATCCCCATTTTCCTGGACTGCGGTGCTAAAAGGTGCCTGTTATTGGCAATCTGTCTAGCTGACCAATTAGCCCAAGCCACAATCAATTAACCATTATGCAAACAGCATGTCCAGGCAGGCGGCTGTGCCTGCCCCACTCTGGGTGCCACCAGAAGCACACAGCCGAGGCACAGGGCTGCTTTACATGAGGACATGCGAAGCAGAAAATCAAAGGGCAGGCAACAAAAGGAACCAGAAAAGAGAGCCCCACCTGTTGCCAGATGACTGTCAGGAAGAGCTGTGAGAACATTCCAGAAAACTATGTCTTAGAAGACATAGCCACAGGGTAAAGAAAACAAGTGGACAAGGCCCAAGGCTTGCTGACAGATGTGTTATAAATGATGAGGGTTGTCTGGTGAGGAAGAAGCCTCCAGACTATCCACGACCTCTCTGCTCCAGGCTCTAAGGTCCACCCTGCAGAGCAGGAGGAGCTGCCGCACGGGGCTGTGTATGCAGTGCACAGCAGCAGTGGGGCTCCTGTTCTGCAGCCTCAGAAAGTTACAGGAGGCCCCAGTGCCAGGGTTGTGGGTGAGGCTTCCTGGCAGCACCCTCAATGCTTGCTGAAGGTTTCTCTTGTGGCATTCGAGTGGTTGCCAGATTCCCCTGTGCCCTCTGGCCCTTCCCTGGCAGAGCCAGTCCAGCTCTCAGTCCCCACTTGGGGCTAAGGAGGGTGCTGTCCACAAACAGTGCAGCCCTGAGAGCTGGGCATGGCCTGAGATAAGCAAATGGAGACGGCTGCCCCAAAGCGAGGGCTGTGCTGGGCTGCGTGAGCCCCTCCACCCCGAGCATGGAGTCCTTTCCTCACCAGACCTGCTGCCCATCTCCTTGGCCTTGGCACCAATGGTCCAGAGGACGCAGCTACTCTGCCCCTCCTCCCCCTGCCAGATGCAGATGCACACTGGTTGTGACTCGCTGTTGTGGTAGGAGAGGGCTGAGAGGGGTCTGCAAGGCAGAACGATTCCTGATCTGCGGTGAGATAGGGTTTCAAGTCTAAGCCACATGTTTGCATCACCTGAGCAGCTGCAGACTCACAGAGCAAGGGCACCGCAGACCTCACATTGAGTCCAACAAGGGGAACTGCATCGCTCAGAGCCCATACGGATCCTGAGCACCCTAGGAACAGAAACAGGGTCCTCACACCAGAGACTGAGGCAGAAAGCCAAGGGACACCATGTCCTGCAGGCGTCCGGGCTCTGCTGAGGTGGCAGGTGTGAAGGGACAGATGCCTCCTGCCCAAAGGGGCCACCGCCTGGAGACAGTTGGGCAGAGGATGTACTCTGGCACAGAGACAGACACACAGACAGAGGCAAGGAGAAGGGAGAGAGGAGAGTGCATGGGAGGCAGGGCGGAGAGGGGCGGCCAGTAGGAAGTGACTAGGTGCTGGGCCTGGGCAGGCCACTCACCTGCGGAGGAGCTTGGCCTTCAGTGAGGCCCGTGAGGCGCTCCAGGAGCTCAGCTCGGGGCTGCTCAGGGCTGTGGGCCTGGTGTGGTCCAGCACTGTGAGGTCCTTGCCCTGCTTCCACTGTTCGTAGCGCTCAGGCTGCAGGATGCGGACGAAGACGTCCATGGAGATCTTTACCATATCCTTCCGGCATGTGCACTGTGGGGTAGGAGACACACTATAAAATCAGCTCCTCCTGTTGAGGCACCAGGTTCCACAGACACCAGAAGAGGGTCTAGGCCCACCTGGCCCAGTTCCCTACCCCACCACCCCGAGGCAGGAGATAGCATCCTCTTTGCTCAGGTGCAGGTGAGGCTGTGCACACCTGTGTGATCTGTGGAGTGAGTCTCACCTAGCAAATATCCCCTGGGGATAAGAACAGGACCCTGGGTTTACCAAGGGGCTAGGCATCTAGGAGCCAAGGCCAACTAGGCCTGAGATTTCACTGCCACTTGCAGTGTCAACAAAAATATCCTTCCCAAAGGCTATGACAGAATGGGAAAGGAACATTCCACAACAGTCATCCCGGAGGGTCAGGGAGATGACAAAGTTGGTGGTTCCTGAAGAGAAAAGAAACATGCAAATGATGGCCCCCTCCTCAAAGGACTTCGGCAAGGGTGATGCTGGCCTCATGGACAGCCACCACCTTCCAGGGCTGGAGGGAGAAAGACGTCACCTGAGGGGAAGCTGAGGGAGGGTCCAGCGGCCTAAGGATTCATTGCTAAGGGTGGCGCTGAGATACCACACACAGGGGTGGCAGCACGGCGGGTCTCTGGCTGGCCTTACGGAAATGCTATCCAGGACAGGATGGCCACCTGTGATTAGGAGTCCCAGGCACACCTGAGGAGGACAGACAGACCCCACCACAGCCTCCTGTGCTGTGCAGACCTATGCCTTGCACCCTGCCCCCACACAGATTGCTGGTCTCAGGGGCTCTACCTCCTCACTACCTCCATGTCACATCAGATGGAGTTTGTGATGGAGGCACTACAGGAGGCCTGGCCACACTCAAAACTTTGGAGATGTGGGTAGGGTGCAGAGAAGCCACACCTGAGTGCAAACCCCAGTGTCCAGAGCAGCCATTTCCACTCTGCAGAAGCCAGGCCCTGCCTGGACCTGGAGCACTCAGGCTGGACCCGAGCATCCTGATGAGGTGCAAGTGAGTGTGTGAGGCTGTGTGCCAATAAAATTTTATTTATAAATACAGGCCTGGGCTAGACGGGCATGGGCTGGCTGTCAACTCCTGACCTAGACCATAGAGGATAAAGCAGTCCTTGGCATCTTTCTAGGGAGGACAGCAGGTTGTGTGGGTGGGTGCAGGACAGAGGGGACTCAGGGTGGCTGCAGACCAGCTGCCACCCTTCCCACTTTGGGCGCATGGTCCTTGTCTCCTGGAGAGACAAATGCTGGGCCTTGAAAGCCCACTGGGCACTATCTGCTGCCCCCTCAAATAGACAGTCCCTCCATCCTTAAGGGAAGTGAAGGACAGAGCAGGTATTTGACTGAGCATGGTGGACAAGCCCTTCTGAGCATCCTTCCTCTTATTCGTTCTCCAAGGCTCTGGAAGGCCCTCAAATCAGATGCTGCAGAGCCTGGGCATCTCTGGAACATCCTGACTCTCCCTCCCTCTCCCATACCACCTTCTGCAGGATCCAGCATGGGAACCTAGGGAACAGTAAGGCCCAATCACATTGAGCGGGAAGGAATATTTATGGCCAAACGATTTCCAGCAAACTCAATTCACTTAATGGCAACTGTGCAAGAGAGCAAGGCCGGTGGTGCAATTTGGCCACAGAGCAGTGGGAGCACAGATGGTGTCCGTATTTCGGATTCCTGGCTGGCCACAGCCTCCCCAGCGTCACCATCAACAGCAGCTTAAGGGATTTGTATCGAGTGGCCCTGCAACTGCTTTTCCTTAAGTAATTAGAAAAAGCACCTGGGTGCGTCCGTGGGGTGTGCGTGTGCATGTGTGTGTGGGGGCGGGGGACAGACATGCTCTGCAGAGCACATTGCTGTGACCTCGAACACGGCCTGGAACCTGGCCCAGCCAATGCTGGCCCCATTTTCAGCATGTCCTCTACCCACAGCTGGTGCCCTGGCCAGGACAGAGCCTGGTACCAGCTTGTTTAGGGTGGCAAGTTCTGGACGGGAGCCCCTGGAAACAGCCACACACAGCTGTACGTGGACTCTGCAGAGAGCTGGGGAAGAAGGAGGCTGGGCCGGTGAGGGCCAGGAAGGGAGGAGCAGTCGTTTCCCTGTGTCTGTCATCTGCTTTAGCCTGATGGTTTGAGAGAGGAAAGTGCTAAGGTGAGCAAAAGATCTTTACCAGCCACCCCGGCCACTCAGTCCTAAATGCCCCACAGCCCCTGATCCGGGCCAGGCAGTAGGGCTGGCACCAGTGAGGACCACATGTGCATGGATCCTGAGCCTCCGTGAGGAACTGTTCTTTTGGGCCATGAGCCGTCCCTCCTGCAGAGCCACCCAAGAGGAGCATGCAGCAGGCAAGAGAAATCTAGGGTGCTTGTGACCTGGTACCCAGGAGGTAAATGAAATGGCAAGCAAGTAGTGCTATTTGTTTTCATTATGGAGTACTCCCATCTATCGTGTCCTCCCGCCCAGCTCCCATCCCACCGGGACGCACATTTACAGTCAGGGTTTGCCAGAGCTACTGAGGTTGACAGCTCCATCTGCCCCAACTTAGCAGCCCATCAGCACATGCAACAGAGATGGAGGGGCTCTCAGGGGGAGCGGGTCTAGTCATTAGCTTCTGATGGAGAAATCAGGCATGATCATGGAGAGGGTGTCTGCGCACACCCCAGGGCCTGTGTGCCACTGTAGGCAGAGGACTCACCCATGGTAGGGAGGAGAGGAGCTTGCCTCTGAGTCCCAGAGCCATGAGAAAGGAGGATGGCTGGAGGATGGTCCTGAGACCCGACCCAATCTTACATGATCCTGGTGCAAGGCATCAGGACTCCATTAGTGCCCCAGCCCAGTAGGGACAGATGAAAGGGCAGGAGTGATAAGCGAGGGCTCAGGGTCACCAGCCTATATAGAGGGTCTCTGTCCCAGACAAGCTGCACTGCGCAGGGTTCCTGCAGTGACTGCCCCACCCTGATGGCCTCCACATGCAGATGGCTGTCCTCCACTGGCTCTCAGCTATCATCCCAGGATGCTGAGCTCCCTGCTCCAGTCTGGGGGAGGCTGGGCTGTGAGCAGGAAAGTCACCCTCTTGGTACCTAACTGCTGTGGCACAAACAGGCTCTGTGGGTACCTCCCATCAAGGTGGCCAACAGCCCCAAAAAGTGTACCTCATAGGGCCCTTGGCAGGACCACTCACCAGATTCCTGCACCACTGTAACCAACCATCAAGAGTGCTCAATAGTGCTCCCAGCCCTGGAAAACAAGCGCTGTCTCCCACAACCAATAGGAGTGACAGTGCTGCCCAGCAAACACAGGGCTTCCACAAGGAGCAGCCTCAAGAGGCTGGAGGGGAGCATGCATCCCTGAGGAGTGTGGAGCAAGTGACGCCCCTCCTCAGGGTTTCACCGGGGGTAGGAAGAAATGCAGACAAACACGTTCTCTGCTTCATTATCAGAAAAACACAAACATGCACACACATATCATGTATGCTCTGAAAAAACTGCAGTGTGTTTAACCATTGTGGGCAGACTAAATATCAGATCTGTGTGACAGCAAGACACAAATACCCAGGGGTGGTCTCTGGCAACCATTTTGGGAGAGACACTCTTCCTGTGCATACGTTACCCTGAGATATATGCAAGGCAGGGCCACAAATACAGTATGGGCCAATCATGAACAAATGTCTGTAAAAAGGACAAGGAAATCCCCAAGCTCCTTCGGTCAGCTGCATTTGTGAGTCAACACCCAGGTACAGCAGTCAACAGATGTATGGCCTGCAAAGCTATTAAGTTCACTCTAGGGCCTTTAGAGAAAGTGTAGGGCTGGGTGTGGCTCAGTGGTGAGTGCTAGTCTAGTACACATAAGGCCCCAGGTTCTGTCCCCTGCACTGCAAAGAAAAAAAAAAAAAGTATGCCTAGAGAAAGTCTGCCCACCCTGATTTACAGCACAGGATAATTTTACAGACCTCAGTGGTGAACACCTCATATACAGACTCCTATGCACTACACAGGTGACAACAGCTGCATCTGTGAGGAAACTAACAGCAACCCAGTCTGTCCTAACTGTGGTGCCTCTCTCCCCACCACAGCACCTGAGCCTAACTATAGCAGGAATGGGGTGGCTGCCCTCCCAAGCCAGTTGCTCACCATGGGTACCCCCCAGCCCAAGGGGACCACAGGGAGCCTAAGCCTGCCACATGTCACCCACATCGGGGCCCAGGTCCCACAGTCTAGGATGACCCAGGCAAAAGGCGCCCATGTCACCCAGGGGGTACAACCCCCTGGCAGCCATGAGCTGGCGCCAAGCTCCCAAACCCACAGGTGACACATACCCTGCAAGTTGCCTGCTTCTGTTTTGCTTTGCTGTCTTCATGACTTGGACCTCATGATGGTAGAGCGCAACAATGTGGGGCCCCAATGACCACCGCAGAGAGAAGGAAGCCAGCCCTCGCCCACCCAAGTCTCTTAAAAGCCATACCTGGCCTGAGAGGAGGACCTACAGCTTGGAGGCAACCTTAGCTTACTTTGTTTTGGGTGTGGGGTGTGATTCACTCCAGTGCTACACCTATAGACAGCACTATTGTGCAAGTACCTAAGGCACACTTATCAGATAAGACTCAAGCTCCAGGGGCACTCTCCACTCAGAGGAGAGCGCATCTTCAAGGGCCTTTCCTCCCCTGAGGTTTGAGATGTTGCAACACAAGATGCCAGTTTTAGAGTCAATTCTGCAATTATGGCCACATAATTATAAATAGCTGGAAAAGTCACATCTCCGGACTCTGAACCATGGCATGTTCTGCATTCCTACATCTGAATTAATTCAGAGGAAAGCCAGAGGTGCCTGGGACAGAGAGAGGTGCTGCCTCCCAACAGCCAGGAAGCCCCACACGGCAGCAGTGCCCACTACACGGCTCCCCTTCCAGCTCCCCTGGGGGTGGGGGAGCTGCTGCCAGGTTCTGCATGGCCCTGGCTGGCCACAAGGTCTCCTGCTTCTCAGGATCGGCCCAGTGGGATGGAGAC